GTACATTCTTAGACGTTTTGCCGGCATTGTGATCGGCATCATCAGGGAGTTGCCATTCTCAGAAACCAAGCTACAACTCGTCAAATAGACAGGTGAAGTCAATCCCTTGACGAACTTTCTATTGAGACGGTTATGGCATTAACTTCTATACAACGAAATGAGACCGCGACCATACAAAAGGCCACCCCATCCTGCTCTCCATATCATATCACAATTTGTTTACGTCTGCTACTTGATAGGCGAGTGCTCAGCGCATCTGCATTGGCCTGAATCCCCTAGAATATTTAGATTACAGCATACCAATTCCTCTGATGAAGATCAATTTAAAAGCTGCGGCATTTTTCTCGACTTTTAGCTTACTGATAGCCCGTACAACCTGATTTGGTTTATTTTAGAAGCCAATTGCATGGACTCTTAGCAGCCCGAAGTCTACTAGATTCGTGTAATAAAAACTAATAAACTTTAATCAATAATATAAATTGATATGACTCTTATAAGAATGGCTGTAAAGGATACTGAATTGGCATGAGCTTATATTAAAGCAACGAGGAAAAAAATAAATATTAATTTGGCGATCACTTATCACTATTAATGGCTGCCTATTAAATCTTCTCCACAGCATACTAATGGACTATTCAGTGAATGTTGCAAATAGTGCATAGTTCGTTACTATAGTTAATATTAATATTAGCTATATAAATGTAAAACATTATATTTCCTAGCCTATTATTCAGTTGAGTCAATCTTAAAATATCCTCGAATCGATACTGATAAAAATTTTCATATTTTATTAATTCAGGCCTCATCGAGCCAGATTGTGATATCTTCCAAACCCGGTTCTTCCGACCCAAAGACTCTGCACTTCGATTCCGTCGTCATCAATCACTGCCGAGCCTCCCCACAACTTCATTTTTCCAACTCCACATGCCCACTTATCCAAAGCCCTTTTGCTCCTTGCCACAGCACCTAGTCGTCCCCCATTCATCTGGTTTTGGAGATTCGGCATCATCTGTTTCGGTCCAGCCGACATTCACCAGCCTGCCGGTGAACTCCATCAAAGGCAACCATATTTGCTCTTCTAGTGTCAATACTGTGACATGTAACGACAAATTGTCTGGTATGCCACCCTCTACCGCTAATCCTCACCCATCTGAGCCTGGTGATAAAGAGATCTCTACCACTACTGTCTCATCCTCATCTGAGGCGACTGCTGCCCATGCAATGGCTTTCTCAGAAGCCCCTGTTGTGGCCACAACCGATAATCGGAACCAACTTGCTAGCTGGCATCGACGTACGATCCAGCCTCGAAATATCCGGT